GCAGCCATAAAAAAGGATGAGTTCGTGTCCTTTGTAGGGACATGGATGCAGCTGGAAACCATCATTCTCAGCAAACTGTCGCAAGAACAGAAAACCAAACACCGCATGTTCTCACTCATAGGTGGGAACTGAACAATGAGATCACTTGGACACCGGAAGGGGAGCATCACACACCGGGTCCTATTGTGGGGAGGGGGTAGGAGGGAGGGATAGCACTAGGAGATATACCTAATGTAAATGACGAGTTAAGGGGTGCAGCACACCAACATGGCACATGTATACATATGTAACAAACCTGCACTTTGTGCACATGTACCCTAGAACTTAAAGTATAATAATAAAAAAAAAAAAGAATGAGTGCTTCTGGCAAGTCACAAACAATCACACCACTTTGTATGGATCCTCTCCCTTCACACACTAATGCTGGCTTATTTATTCATAAATGATTATTATTGAGTCAACTGGATTAAGTCTAGTGAATGCTCGACTGAGGCCAAAGACTTGCTTAGGGATTTTCATGTCTGTCTCTGGTTAATTACGAGACACATATTTGGTATCAACGTTTCTAGTTTTCAGCTTTTCACTCATATTTAAATAAGGGTAAAGTGTAACAGATAAGTCTGATAATAACATAAACATGGCTGCTTGTACAAACCACCTTTACCACAAAGTTTCCTAGTTATTTAAGTCTCTCTTTTGGACTATGGGGGAAAACACAACCCAAGTTGTTGCTCTCTATCTTTTAACAAATTTTCCCTTCAGAAACAGAAGCATCATTGATGAGACTATAGTTTTGCTTATTATCAATCACTTTTCAGTGCTCTCTCACCCTAGAGTAACCTTAATGGGATTCAGGTGTTTAACAATTTTACTCTCATATTTGCAACTGCTTCATAAGGTGGTTACTTCCACACGTAGGTAATCTCAATTACTCAATTTTGGACACTTAATAATTGCAAGATCTAGCCAGGAAAAACTTTGAATGTAATTTATAATACTTTAATAGTACAACTACTGTACATTATTCATCAATATTAGGTGGCAACAAGCCATAAAGGAATTACAGTAGAAAGGCTTAGTTTCATTTTCCAATTTACCACTGACCACTATTTAACCTCTATGGATCTTACAACAGCACCCCCCTTTTCCTCGGGAAATATGTGACAAGACCCCGGTGGATGCCTGAAATCTCGGACAGTATCAAACCCTATAAGTACTGTGTGTTTTCCTATACATACATACCTATGATAGAGTTTAATTTATGAATTAAGCACAGCAAAAAGATGAACAATGAAATAGCACAATTATAACAATATTCTGCAATAAAAATTACGTGACTATGGTCTCTCGCTCAAAATATCTTACTGTACTGTACTCACCCTTCCTCTTGTAAAGATGTAAGATGATAAAAAATGCCTACATGATGAGATGAAGAGAGGTGAATAATGTAGGCATTGTGATGTAAATGGAAAATCCCAGAAATAAATTAATTCATAAAGTTTCAGTTTCAAGCTGTTTTGAGTAGTGTGATAAAATCTTGCCCCGACCTGATCTGTCCACCTGAGTTGCTGTTAATCACTTAGTAGTGGTCTCAGTTATCAGATTGACTGTTGCGGTATGGCAGGGCTTGTGTTTTCTTAATAATGGTTCCAAAGCGCAAGAGAAGATATGCAGTATTTTCAGACCGCGGCTGGCTGCGGGTAACTGAAACCTCAGAATGCAAAGCTGTGGACAAGGGGAAACTACTGCATTTTCTTCATGTATAAAATCACAGAGCTATCCTGGAAATTATATTAGCAGACTAAAACCTTCCATTTCATCAGTATGTCCTGCCTTAGATATGTGGCCAACAGACTATTCAAAAAGCACCACTAAAGACCCTAACAACCTTAAGGACAAAAACTGTATATTCATGACTATTCCTAATGGCTAGCTTTGAATAAAAAAGTACAATGAACATACTAAAATGAAGATAAAATAATTGTTACCTCTTTCATCTTCCAAATGAGTTTTCAAAGAGTCACTTTCCTGAGCATCTTCATTTATATGCACTTCACCAATGGGGCCATCATCAATGCAAATCACATTGCTGCTTAACCATTCTGAGTCATCCTTCTGTTCCTTAGTCAAATCTATTTGCTCGCTTTCAGAGAAGGACGGAGGCAAATCAGCCTTTACTGTGTTTGTTGTATAAAGCTGTGCTTTAAAAAAGTTTCTCTTAGCCTTTTTTGATTTCTGAGCAGTGCTTACTCTTACAAAGTGACTTTGGGGTGGTGTAACAAATGCCTTTGAAGTCCCAGAAGTATCAAAGTCATCCATATCATCCCAATCATTGATGGTTCTGAAAGAATCTGGTGAAGAACTAAATTCTAATTTCTTGAGAGCAGTATTCCAGGATTTCTTTACAGTTGGTGTGTTTTGGGTAGTGCATAAAACTTCCTTTGGAGTCTGCAAGAAATCTGGCAATAATGGTTTTGAGCCAACTCTCTGTGTTTGCTGTCCTGCGGGAGCATTTTTAAAGAAGTCCTTGACCCTCTGCTGATTTGTGGTGTCAGGTGGAGGTTCACTGAAGGAAAAGTCTTCGGTAACATTAACATCTTTATTTCTTAATACAGGTGTTTTTGCTACTGACACATTAGTGACAGACACATTGTTATCTGAAGATGTTTTCTTTTTAAAAGTGAAACCTCTGAAAAATAATGGAAAAACTGGATTAGATAGATCCATATTAACAACCCCCCCCCAACTCTACAAAACTGTAATTTTTAAAACTAATTCACACAGGTTACATTAATTGTATCCCAACTCCAACTGAGCAAAGAATCCATCTCTCTCTTGATTTTAAATTTATCAGGTAACTTAAATTCTATTTGTTCTCTGGTCCTTCCCATTCAGAGGCTAATTATATTTGGCTTTGAGAGTCCATTCCCACTACTTTATTTCTCAGGCTAGTAGTCCTTAGTCAATAGCATCTACAGAGCGGGGTGACAGCATAAATGAAAAAGGGAAGAGGTCGGGCGCAGTGGCTCATGCCTGTAATCCGAGCACTTTGGGAGGCTGAGGCAGGTGGATTGCTTGAGGTCAGGAGTTCGAGACCAGCCTGGCCAACATGGTGAAACCCCATCTCTAATAAAAATACAAAAAATTAGCCGGGCATAGTGGTGTATGCCTAAAGCCCTAGCTACTCAGGAGGCTGAGGCAGGAGAATCGCTTGAACCCAGGAGGTGGAGGTTGCAGTGAGCCAAGACTGTGCCACTGCATTCCAGCCTGGGTGACAGAGCAAGACTGTATCAAAAAAAAAAAAAAAAAAAAAGAGAGAGAGAGAAAGAAAAAGAAAAAGGGAGGAGATTCAAATGTGGCTACTTTTTGCTACTCTGATAAGAATTTTAAGGGGAAAAAGAGTTAAAAACTGCTAACTCTGTTAAAATCTGCAGGATAAGTAAAAGAGGCGGGAATCATGGCTGTCTGCTGGATTTAATGATCTGAAAAGTCAGTGGTGACTTCAAAGCCAGGCACCCCAGACACAGTCTACAACCTGGTAAAAGCATCACTTATAATATAAATTATTATCAGATATCATTAGGAGTCTGGAGGATAGCTCAGAGGAGAGGCAGAACTGGAGAGCTGTAGTTTCCTTATAAACTGTTGTTCGAAAGGATGTAAAATTATATTAAAATACTTGGCCAGGCGTGGTGGCTCATGCCTGTAATACCAGCACTTTAGGAGGCCAAGGAGGGCAGATCACTTGCGGTCAGGAGTTCGAGACCAGCCTGCCCAACATGGAGAAACCCCATTTCTACTAAAAATATGAAATTAGCCGGGCATGGTGGCGCATGCCTATAATCCCAGTTACTGGGGAGGCTGAAGCAGAAGAATCGCTTGAACCTGGAAGGCAGAGGTTGTGGTGAGCCAAGATTGCGCCATTGCACTCCAGCCTGGGCAACAAGAGTGAAACTCCGTCTCAAAAAAGTAAAAAAAAAGGCCAAGCATGGTGGCTCATGCATGTAATCCCAGCACTTTGGGAGGCCGAGGTGGGCAGATCATGAGGTCAGGAGATCGAGATCATCCTGGCTAACACAGTGAAACCGTCTCTACTAAAAAGTACAAAAAAAATTAGCTGGGTGTGGTGGCGGGCACCTGTAGTCCCAGCTACTTGGGAGGCTGAGGCAGGAGAATGGCATGCACCCGGGAGGCGGAGCTTGCAGTGAGTCGAGATCGCGCCACTGCACTCCAGCCTGGGCACACAGCGAGACTGTGCCTCAAAAAACAAAACAAAACAAAAACAAAAACAAAAAAACAACAAAAAACCCCACAAAACTTAAAAAACACTTATCTGCCCAAATTTACAAGATTATTCATTTACTCAACAAATCTTTATTGAGCAAATATTATGTGCCAGGAACCATGCAAAGGTGAGACATAATCTCACCTGGTGCTGCTAAAACATACTCTACCATTAATTGACAAAGTGGGAAGATCAATGAATCTCTCAGCTTCATTTCTTCATCTGTACAATGACAGAGTTTAAAGAGAAGATATCTCATGTGTACAATGTGGTAAGTTAGTGCCTATGTGACAGCAAACCAATAAAAACACTTACGAAAATTTTGGTTTTGAAAGACTTAATTTATTATTAAGTGTTCTGGCTGAATGACGTTCTAGTTGCTCCTGTAGATTATTCTGAGGAACAGCAGCCATAATCCTAAAAAGTGAGGGGAAAAAAAATTCAGTGAAGTTAGGTATTTTGCATTAATCACAATGTTTATTGAAGGGAGGAAGGATTTGATTCAAACAGGCATTGTTCCAAGTGTGCCCAGAGTAATAGGACTTTGTTTTTTTTTTTGGGTCAATAGACTGTTTTGACATTTACAACTAGTGACACTTGAAATATATAATCTTCAACTAACTGAAGGCTCACTTGAATAACGCAATAACCAGGTTCCCCCTCTCTTCCTCCACAATACTAAAATAAGTACAAAAGACATTAGGGAGGGGATTATTAGGAAAGGGCTTTTAGAAAAATGGGACCTGGCCTAGAAGGATAAACGGAAGCTGGAAGGGAGCGAGATGGGAGGAAATGATCAAAGCACACAGAAAGCCCAAAGAACAAATGAATAACTGAATTCTGTGCAAGGGCAAAATTGGGGAAAGGAGGAACGCCACCACCAATGAGAGCAAAGGTTTACCAGCAAGATACTATGCTTCATAATCATCTAGTTGCAACCTGAAAGAATACGTTTACCAAGCACATTTATATCCCTGTGTAACAAGCTGTGGTAATGCTGAGCTATAGCCCTCCTCGGCTTAACCACCTTAAAATTACTGGGGCTAAAGGAAGATCCTAGCTGTAATCCATGCATTAAAAAATCCTCACTTTAGCTGATAGTTATAACCCCATAAACCCTTTTCCCTACCTTTACCAGACATCTACTTTTATTATTTTATAGCATATATCTTAGGAGGCAGGGTTAACGCTAGATGGTATTTCTAGAAATATGAAGTTTCACATAAGCCATGTTCCACTCATTAACCTATATCTATCAACCATCTTGACTTTAGATAACAGTGAAAAGCAGAATTTAGAAGAAACTAAGTTACACTCAATTGAGAAATCTTCATGTTTATAAGCGTGATCATAATACAGCTTTTGTCCCACCTTCTCCAGAAGGAATTATTTCTGCTGCTTTTTCCTCTTTAACCTGCTTTAGGTAATATAGCTAGTTATTTAATAAACATTGAATAATTCACATTGGCATGTGAATTATATCTTGTTACCCCAAAAAAAGTAGATGGAAGGAATAAATCCCTACATACCTATCACCCAGATTCAACACTTATCAACTCATCCAATATTGTTACAGCTATACATACACCCTGAGTTCCTTACTCCACCATTTTGGAAGGCCACCTCCCAAAATAGTGACATTTAGATTGTTATTACTTCTTTCATTCATTAGCAGGAATACTTTTTGTTTGTTTGTTTTCTTTCTGAGACAGGGTATTGATCTGTTGCCCAGGATAGAGCACACTGGCTCAATCACAGCTCACCGCAGCCTCGACCTCCCGGGCTCAAGTGATCCTCCCACCTCAGCTTCCTGAGTATCTGGGACTACAGGTGTACACTACCACAACCCAGTTAATTTTTAAATTTTTAGTAAAGACAGGGTCTCACCATGTCACCCAGGCCGGTCTTGAACTCCTGCGCTCAAGTCATTATCCCACCTCAGCCTGCCAAAGTGCTGGGATTACAGGTGTGAGCCATGCCTAGCCAGCTATAAGACTTCTATCATAAGTTTCAAAATAATGATGCAGTACACTAAAAGCCCATACCTCACTACTATACAGTATATGCACGTGGCTGGCAGCAGCGGCTCATGCCTATAGTCCCAGCACTTTGGGAGGCTGAGGTGGACGGATTGCTTGAGCCCAGGAGTTTGAGACCAGGCTGGGCAACATGGCAAAACCCTGTCTCTATAAAAACTACAAAAAAATTAGCCTGGCCTGTGGTCCCCGCTACTCAGCAGGTTGAGGTGGGAGGGTTGCTTGAGTTGCAGTGAGCCGAGATTGTGCCACCGCACTCCAGCCTGTGCAACAGAGCAAGACTCTGTTTCAAAAAAAAAAAACAACAAAAAAGAAGTCTACACTTGTATCCCTTAAATATATTAATAATAATAAATAAGAAATGATATTCATTCTTTCACCACCTTCAAATAGTGAATTTTTTTTTCAGTATCATTATGAACTCACGGATTAAACATATTAGGTGTGTTTCAATCCAATACAGTGATCATCCTTATTGATTCTCAAATTGATTCATGTTTTGCCAGTGGGAGTTTTCAGGTGGGCGCTTCAGTCCTTATGACTTAACCTTATGAGTCATTGAGAGCTTCCTTCCTATATGGCATGAAAAGATGTTCCAGGCTTACCTTGTGCATTTTTTTGCACCAGATTTGGAATCAGCCATTTCTTCAAGCATCCCTAATTCTTGTTTTATTTTTCTTTTTTTGAGACAGGGTCTCACTTTGTTGCCCAGGCTGGAGTATAGTGGTGGCTCACTGTAGCCTCTGCCTCCCCAGCTCAAGTGTTCCTCCCACACAGCTGAACCACAGGTGCACACCACTATGCCCCGCTAAATTTTTGTATTTTTGGTAGAGATGGGGTTTCACCATGTTGCCCAGGCTAGCCTCGAACTCCTGTGCTCAAGGGATCCTCCTGCCTTGGCCTCCCAAAGTGCTGGGATTGCAGGTGTGAGCCACCGCATCCGGCTTCCCTGATTCTTTTTAATGGAAAATATTTTAAGACCTTGATCTCTGCAGTTCCTAGGGCACCTCACCATTTGGAATCCAGTTTAAAAGTATTGATCTTGGCTGGGCACAGTGGCTTATTCCTGTAATCCCAGCACTTTGGGAGGACGAGGCGGGTGGATCACGAGGTCAGGAGATTGAGACCATCCTGGCCAATATGGTGAAACTCCATCTCTACTAAAAATACCAAAATTAGTTGGGCATAGCGGCATGTGCCTGTAATCCCAGTTACTTGGGAAGCTGAGGCAAGAGAACTGCTTGAACCAGAGAGGCGGAGGATGCAGTGAACCAAGATTGCGCCACTGCAATCCAGCCTGGCAACAGAGCTAGACTCCATCTCAATAAATAAATAAATAAATAAATAAATAAATAATAAAATTATTGATCTTTTGTTAAGGTGTCCTCTCTCCAAGGTGCTGTACAATGTGGAAGTCTTTCCCACATTAATAAACGATGTGAAGTGATAAAGAGTGAAGTCAGACTATTGCCTTCTCAGAATTTCAACATCAACAAAGTAGACTACTGACAAGGAGGCAGAGGTACACAGATCTTCAGTCTTATGACACTAAGCAGAACAAAGTGGTCCATGGCATCATTACTTACCCTTTTCTCACATTCCTTCCATAACTTAATTTATTTTTGGATCAAAACTAGTCATGGTATTCTAATAACAGAGATTTCCTACATTACTGCACAGCATGGTTTTATGTTTATTTAGCCATCCCAGGAGAACAACTGTTTGATTAACTATTTTACAACTGTAGTGATTACACTATGGATTCACAGCTAGCATGCAGTCAACCTTAACTCTGAGAGGACCTCTTCCTACTTTTGATATGCACAGCTCTTTGGTTATTCCTCTCCAGGTAGCACCCTCCAGCAGGATCACATTCTGAAGTATGGTAATGAGTACATAATTTTCTTACTCAAAATCCTCAGTGGGAATGCTTTTAAGAAGTTGGTGAGTACTAAGAACTATAAGGGTATCTCTTCTGTACATAGTCCATTAAAATATCAATACAATTGTTTGACACAAAAAGAAAATTGTTCACCAACATGCCTGCAGTCTCTGCTACTCAGGAGACTGCGGCAGGAGGACTGTATGAGCCCAGGAGTTCAGGGCTGTAGTGCACTATGATCGCACCTGTAAACAGCCACTGCACTATAGTCTGGGCGACAATGTGAGGCCCCATCTCTTAAAAAAAAGTGTTCATTCACAATAACAAAGATCAGTGATAAAGGAGAAAAAATAACTGAAAACAAATAAATTTAGGCTAATGAAGTTTCACAATATTAAAAAAAGGAACAATTTCTGGGTACAATGAGCACTCAGAAACCAAAAAAATAAACCTATGAATTAGAGTGACCACAAAAATCACAAGTTCAATCTGGAAAACGATTAAAATTTTCTCCTACATATATGAAAGAAGCTATCATGCCATTACAAAAGCATATAAATAAGCAGGCCAGGAGCGCTGGCTCACGCCTATAATCGCAGCACTTTGGGAGGCTAAGGCGGGAGAATGGCTTGAGCCCAGGAGTTTGAGACAAGCCTGGGCAACATAGGGAGATCCTGTCTTTAGCCAGACACGGTGGCACACACCTACAGTCCCAGCTACTCAGGGAGGCTGAGGCGGGAGGATCCCTTGAGCCCAGGAGTTTGAGGCTGCAGTGAGTAATTCTGTGTCACTGCTCCAGCCTGGGTGACAGTGAGACCCTGTGTTTAAAAAAAGTCACAGGAAATGTAAGCTTCAAGCATTACCTTTAAAACTGGCTATTAAGAATTTTTCGGCTGGGCACGGTGGCTCAAGCCTGTAATCCCTCGCCAAGACGGGCGGATCACGAGGTCAGGAGATCAAGACCATCCTGGCTAACACGGTGAAACTCCGTCTCTAATAAAAAATACAAAAAACTACCCGGGCGAGGTGGCGGGCGCCTGTAGTCCCAGCTACTCGGGAGGCTGAGGCAGGAG